AGTCTCTTTATTGATCTATTTGGTCAGGTATGCTGAGGGTGGAGACAAGTATACTGGCACGTGTTGCTTCAGACTTCCCCGGTAGTTTGTGTCCTTAGGAGCCTTAATTCTGGTTTTGCAGGTGTGTTGGATGCAAATGGGCAGACAGATTGGCTGCTGCTGCACGACTTTTTGGTTAGCTGATGCATGACGGGCCGGATGTGGTCAAGGTAATTTGGGAGCAGTGCAGAAGCGCCAGTGAATCACTATGATCTGACGAAAATAATGGAGTGTGTGAATGATCAGGAGATCTGGCCGATACTCAACATTCGAAGAAAGGCAAGACGTACTTGCAATCAGAATGCTGCTGGCACAGTCAGAATTGGAGCTCTTCGCTGGCTGCTGGGCAGGGCGTTTGTGGGAATATCCCGAATGCTGGGATGTCGGTTTTTATATCAGATTTACCCGACCGATTTATCTGAGAGTGGTCCATTATCTCACATTTACACGCCTACAGCTAGAAGGGATGACCAATTGCTGTGTAGTGGTTGATTTAAGGTCGAAGTGATCAAGTCACTTGGAAATAAGTCTCTGTTTTTATGTTTTTGGTTTTCTGGATCAATTCTACTGATGATATTCCTTTATACCACTGTCTTAAGCCATTAACCATCATTTCTCTTGGTCTGCCTCTGCTGCTTCTACCAGTGAACTTTCCAGTCGTTTATAATGTTCTACTTTCATTGGCCATTTCCAGACATTCAATGTTGGTTATTCTGGCAGTCCAAGGTATCCTCAACATTCTTCTCAAGAACCACATCTCACTTGCCTTCAAACTCTCCTTAATCTGTTTGTTCACATTCTAAGATTCATTAAGATGCAACAGAACAGGCTCGATGTAACATTTCAATCCTCCTTTTCTGATGTATAATTTGTGTGATTTATTACATAAATACTTTTAATCTTCTGAAAAGCTGCCTTTGTCTGGCCAATTATGTTTTTAATGTCTGTCACACATCGTCCATCTAATGTTATGAATTTCCCAAATACTTGAATTTATTGATTTGGTTAAGCACTTTCCCTTCTATTGCTATGCCACATTTCGGAGTTATATTTTTCTTTGATATAGCCATTGTTTCTGTTTCTTAATATTCAAAGAGAGTCCCTTTTTTGCACTCTCTAGTAGAACAATGTCTAATAGTTGTTGAAGGTCTTCTGCGTTGTCAGCTACTAATAAACAATAATACTGATTAGCCAGGGAGAAAGCATTCCTAGCTTTGGCAACGACTCATAGAAGTCGGGAATCGAACTTTCAACCTTTTGAGCATGGGTACTCACTTCGTTACTTACGTCACTGAAATAATGCAGAGCGAGAGGGGGAAGAGATGGAGGGAGGGAGGTGGAGAGAGACATATAGACACACAGATAAATATTTATATAGAAGACGGACGAAGGGACGAACAGGTGGATGAACGGACAAATGGGTGTCTGGAAAGACAGCGGACGAACTGGCGGACAGACAGACAGGTAAACAGACAGACAGGTAAACAGACAGACAGACAGACGGCAACGAGCTGTACATTCCTCTTTTTCATTCTTTTCTCCTTGATCCTTCGTTAACATCCTGAAAGAAATCGTCGCTTCCGTGTACATTTTCCGTGACGAACAATTCTTAGAACACTTTTAAAAACATTTGAATGCAGCTTTCGTTATCCACACCTACATATCACATATGGCGATTCGAAACGGTTAGCGACTAAAATAGTTTTTGGCGACAGTGATATAGTTACTAGCATAACTAAATCTCGACTTCGGCGTGACGATAAAATAACAGTACATTTGGGAATGACATGTCATGAAATCTTGGTCTGTCAGTGACGCTGGAGTTAACTGACTTCCGGATGTTGAGAGTATAACTTCGATAAGAACATCACAAACACTACAGAAGGGGGTGTGGGTGTGGGGGGGGGGGGGGCAAAGAAGAATCTGGAATAACAACATCAAGACATGAACAGGGCTAAGTTATCATGCACGTTTTCACCAAGCCGAAGACATGTATTAGTAGACACCTCCCTGACCGTAACAGTGCAAGGGTTGTTTTATGCTATGTATAACATCATTCAGGAATTTAGTGGGTTCTATGTAATAAAAGGGTTTCAGAATAAGTCATGTATTACTGGTAATTGCCTTATGGGTTAAATAGATTGTAATACAAAGTGAAGTAGTGATAGTATAATAAGAACTCCACAGAGCTTCGAGCTGGCTTTGGATGCAACGGAACATCATGGGGGATGGGCTTTGGTAGACTGGTAAGAGCTCCTAATGGGAAAGAACTTTGCATCCCTATAAAGCCAAAGTGACCGATAAATGTCTACCGGTGTCTCTCTGCCAAAGTCTAACAGCTGTCCGATGAACCAACGGTAAGCTTGTCTCTGGTCTTGAAGGTAGACGGCTAATTTGCTAACACAAAATCTCACAATACCTGTTGCAAAGTCACCATATCATCTTGTCCCTGTCTAAGAGTCTGATAAAATGCAGCAGGGGAAGATCGCGGCCTGAAGTCATGACTAGGTCGGCCTATCTTCCGAAATTGTACAGGAAGTAATGGGATGAAACAATCATCGACAAAGGATTTTTCTTCATGTGAACGGTGGACCCCTGCTGTGCATGCATGGGATCGAATTGCCGCCTGGTGTGATGGTTCCAACGCCATCAGTGGGCAGAACAGTCAAAGAAGTCAACGGCCTTTCTCTATGACAACCAGCAGCATGACGAAGGAGGTTATGGCAATAACGCAAGCGTTCGCGTGGCTCGAAACACAAGACTGTACCCGCGTATGTGTTCTCGGTAATTCAATAAATATGATCCGGAGGGTTCGGGCGATCTAACCGGCAGTTTTCGAGAAAATGGCTTGCAGGTGTGTTTATGAGATGTTGAACGAACAATAACTAACATCGCACTAATTCTGTTAATTGAAGTAAGCATAAATGACGTATTTATTTTATCATAGTCATTGACATCACCATAATGTGCCGTGCTGGTAAGCGTACGCTTTCATATTTCGGCTTCTGACTCAATTATCAAAATCGCTGATCAAGTCACTGTTTTTTGTCGAAGAGAACTGTCTCGTTTGTTTTTCTATAATTCTGTGGTACTCTTTGCATTCTTCACAATCACTGCAAGTAAATGTTTAAACTTGTTAACACTTTAGTATTACCATGGAAGTTTAAGATTCACTAGGTGGTCATCACAAACCATCTAAAATATTGCACATTTTCGTTTTTGTATTCTTCCGGAACTACAGTGAAGACCATCTACTGTCCCCGAATAAATGAGCTATACAGAAACATAGCAACAACAAATCAACAGGACCGACTAGTCGTAGGCGACAGCCCGTCATCTGGACTGATGACTCCAATGATGTCTCCTCTGGTTTGGTGTACTGTCATCATAGTTCAGCTGTGCATGCTAGAACTTGCCTTTTCGCAAACTCTGTACAACTCCACGCTGGCCTGTACCAGGGGCGCTAACCAGACGTATATGTCCATAGACTGCAAGGATATTTATCCAGATGGGGGGACCCGTGTGTTGACCATTTTCCGAGTCTTCTTTGGTGCAACCCCCAGTTCTAGGTAGGTATTCTGGTAACTAGCTTATTTATTTTAGCAGACCTAGATCTCTCGAAGCAGTTCGATCGTCACCTGGACGACAGATGTTAGTCTCTTATGGCAATATTTCTGGCTACACTTTGGAGCGTTTATACACATGTCAGACTTTGCATGATGGCCATTGTAATTAAACAGGCAACGTGCAAAGCAGGGATTAGATTTTAAAAAATACATGACAATTAACAGTGGAAAGGAGGGGGCGGGGCAGAAATGGAATAAGGAGATAATTCAGAAAAAGTTACATGTTTTTAATGTCTTGGACATGTAACAGATGATGACAGGATTTACAAAAATTTTAAAAAGAGAATAAGAATGACATATATATATACGCACCGTCAACAGCAGGCAAAAATTATTTACATCTATGGATATACACACTATAATAAAATATCATAATTTTTCCTTGTGTTGTTTACTCAGTGAAGGATAAACAAGCAACCCAAAATTTTTTTTATTTATCGAAGACTGTCTGTCATAGTTGACAGAAACAGAAATAGTCACATGCAGAGGTTATGAAGAAAAGAGAGTTGGTAAAAGAAATACAAAAAGATACAAGTGAAATATTCCGGTCACATTAAAAGACTTAACCAGCAAGTCGTGAGAGTCGATGAATTAAAGGTGTTTTCTTCAAAGTTGGATTGCATCAGCTTGAAACGCAAGCAATCCACAGTCTGCATACAGATAAGCCAGATCTTTAAAATGAATGTGTACGCAAAACGTAGGTTATGGATCAAGACCAAAGTCCGGGAGTGGATAAACACCTAGAACTTTCAACCGAAGTTACAGCCGGTGAACGCTAAGAAGAAGACAAAGAAGCGACTTAACACACTGATAAAACCATAATAGAGGAAAACGTTGGAGGCAAGCATAAAAATTACCTAAAACTTCTTTCATTCCCTTGCATTCAACAGCTGTAAATTCCAGTGGTAAGTTCTGGCTGTTCGTCCACTTCTTGTTCCAGATTTGAGTTTTGCATACACGTCCGTTTTACAGTTCTGCCGTATTAGTAGGAAGACAGCTGGTTCCTTGCCTCTCAGGCAGATGCCCTCTGACTTGGAAGGAAACACCACTAGTTAGTCGACAGGCAGTTGAGGAGCGATGTCTAATCTAGTTCTCCCTGACAATGTTGCACTGGAACCCACACGGGGATTTCAATAATCAATTGTATACTGCTTAAGAAAAAAAAATGACGTTTTCAATACATTCTACAGCGGATGCAGCAGAACAGCCCCCTACACAAACTGTTGTGTCCATGACCACAGCAACCCTGGTTGTACCTTCCCTGTAGATGCAGAGCTGCAAGAGATTGTTGCCAGGTGTTCAGGAACAAGCTATTGCAGCTTTCCTGGCAAAAGAATGGCAACCTCCCTGGGCAACTGTGACCAAAATGTTTATCCAAACATCACCTCCTTTTTATTTGTGGAGTATAACTGTACCGGGCAACCTACATTGCCAAGTACTGCAGCACTACCATCTACAGTGAGCACAACGGTGTCAAGTTCAACTGTAGTTTCTTCGTCAACGCCAGGCGCCACTTTTGCTCTGCCTTCTGACATCATCTCTTTTAATTCTTCGTTGGCTTGCACAAGAGGTGCTAACCAAACGAATCACAACCTAGACTGTAGGAATCATTATCAGGATGGAGACATCCGGTCATTGTCTATAATTCGAGTCTTCTACGGAGCAACTCCTCTGTCCAGGTAGGAATTTAATATAAATAGCGTGTAGATATTATTTGTAGAAATTAGTTACTTTATATGAACACATTTTACGCAATCATTATCATCAGGTGCCTTGCCGACTGGCATGGGCGATCATGCCCCTCCACAATCTGCGATCTCCTGCAACATGTATCAGTTCTTGCGCTGACACACCTCCTTGCCTTGCAACAAGACTGTCAAGAATCTTCTCTTTATCCCTCCTTCCGCAGATCTTTCCATTGGTCACAACATGTTCCATTTTCCCTCTTTTCATAAAATAGCCGTAAATTGATGACTGTCTCCTTCTGATGTCTGTGATAAGTTAGCTTCGGGCTCCCGCCTTTTTCAAAACCTCTTATTAGCTCTCTTTGGCTGTCCAATGTATTTTAAGCATTCTACTGTAAAACCACATCTATGAGGCCTGAAAAAAATTGTTTAGCCTGTCTACTGATTGTGCAGGACTCACAGCCATGTGTTAAAACTGGATGTATGTTGTAAGCAAGAATTCTTTTTCCAACTACCAATGACAAAGATATATTGCATAAGATGTTCTTCATTTTATAAAATGCAGTTTTGGCCTGGCCTATTCTGTTTCTTATCTCAGTAATGCATCTTCCTTTTGATGTTATCCATGTGCTCAGATACTTAAATTTATGTACTTGTCCCAAAATAACAAAATTGACGTTTAGGAAAAATTCTTTTCTTTGATACCACCATTACTTCTGTATTTCCATTATTCAAACTGAGGCCCATTTTTCCCACTTGTCACCACCGCAATGTTTATCATTTCCTGTAGTTCCTTCTGAATTGTTGCTATCAAGACTGTGTCATCAACATAACGTAAATTGTTTATATTGTGCCCACCAACCATAACTCCAGGCATATCAATTAAAGATCTCATTATATATTCAATGTTTAGTAAAAATAAATCAGGTGACAGTACACATCCTTGTCGTACGCCCCTCTTAATGCTCTAAAATGAACCTAAACAATTGCTAATTCTTATAGCTGCTATTTGCGGCCAATACATATTCTTTATTATTCGTAGATCTTTTCCATCAATGTTTAATTTTTCTAACAGTTTGATTACTTTTTCATGTTTGACACAATCAAAGACTTTTGTATAGTCTATAAAGCATAAGTGCAATTCAGTCTTTACTTCTCTAACTCTTTCTGTTAATGTCCTTAGGGTTTAGTTTTTTACATGGACTGAGGAAATGAGGACCACAAAGAGAAATCCTAAGACGAACGTTGTCGAGTGAGGTCAAAGGTTATAGGCTAGATTACGTCCAAATTATGCCAAACTTGAAATGCAAAAGACGGAACGGAATCATGGACTAGTCTGTAAGGCACATGCGACTCATCATGGCCCAACACCATTGTGATTATAATGTACAAAGTCTATGAAAAGTTAAAGCCAGGAAATGTTAGTGGGTAGTATAGTGTTTGTTCAGGATATTCCTTTTTGTTCAGAGTGACGAAATGTATTTTCTAGCCAGAACAGCGACGGACTTGGCTGATCACTTCTAATAGTCACCATGCTAAAGAACCATACGACTGATACAACTAAGAATGTTAGGACTCAAAATGTCGAAGATTTTCGTAGTCTAGAGGCGTAGTTTTTCTTTTTTTTATCTACAGCAACCTCAGAGGTAAAACAATATTTTAATTGTTGGAAATGATTCCCTCTTTTCTCTATTCTCCTCTTCTACTTTTCTCTTCGGTACTTAATTCTTCATTTAACTTCGGACGAGATCTGAAATAATTCCAAGTAGTTCTCAGCAAACGAGCTAGTTTGCATCTCCTCCCCCAATAAAACGGTGCCCTTTCAATTATATTCTAGATATGGTAGCGGCTGATGACACTAATTTATTGTTGGTTTATCGTTCTTCTAGGGTTTACAGTCTAGTTCTCTTGTCTGACAAAAGTCTCTTTGTCTTTTGTTTTTGCAGTCTTGTCATGGTTACAGATTTACAATTGATTCTCGCAAATATCTCAGTCCTCGAAGAGCATTCGTTATGCCAGCCTGATGGTTCATTGCTAGTCCCTTCTCTACAAATTCCCACAGTAGTAGCCTTGCTTTGGCTTAGAAAATGAATCTGATCTTGGGCAGCCGTGACTGTATCAGGGACTCCAACCACTGTCTTTGAGCCCAAAGCATTTTAGTCTCAATAAGCACACTAATTGACTAATGCTTGTTACCACCACGATCTCTATAGTCAGAATGCTAATTTTCCAGTGAAGGTCTGTCTCTGGTAGCTCTAATGCTTGTTATTGTTGCGTGCTATCTGAGTTATATAACTGTTCACGAGACATTCCCTTGAACTCCCCGGAAAGTACTATCATACAACTCTGTCCCTTTACCCAAAATTATACTCTCCCTCATCAGCACGCAACAGTTATAACGACAATCTCTATCATTTATTTTTGTAAGCTCCTTAGACTACTTGCGTTCAGTGCAAAAACACCAATCTTCCTTCTTTGCTTTCATTTCAGCCTCAGCTTTAAATACACATGAGCTCCTCAAGTGCTAAACAACAGACTCATGTTGATAAATCACTGTATCACACTTAGAACATTGTCTTTAATATCAGGTTCTAAAATTCTGCCCCCGCAGAGGCTACATTGACATCAATGTTTCGCTGCCTAATTAAATCAAGTTACAGTAAGAATAGATCCATACGTTATGTATGGTCTTTAAATATTGTATCATTGCAATAATACTGTGATCAAGAATGGTTATTTCAGGTATCATATTTTTTTTTTTTAAATCAAATTAACAGCGAATGTGTCAGAACAGCTCCCTATGTCAACTGCTGTGTTCGAGACCCAAACAAGGTGGACTGTGTTTTCCAAAACGATGCTGAGTTGCAGAAAATTATCGAAAAGTGTTCTGGGGTCTCTTATTGTGAATTCCCTGGTCTGAGAGTATCCGCATCCTTAGGGAACTGTGATCCCAACAATTATCCAGCTCTGACATCGTTTTCTTTCATCGAGTACCAGTGTCTGCCTAGAGAGTTCACACGTCAGGTCTGCAGTGACATTAACGACCGGCAAGTAGGCCGGCTCTATTTGGAGAGTAACACCGTTCTGGTTGGAAAGACTGTGACCAACACCATATGTCAATGTCTCATCACAACCGACTGTGATTCCAGCCTCAGCTTCTATGGCATTGTTGTTCAGTTAACTCAGATTAATGCCACAACATGTGCAGAAGAGATCACCTTTGCTGACGTCCGATATCCTCAGTTATCCGCTCGAATCAACTGTACTGACGACGATAACGTGCTTTACAATAAATCGCTATTTACATCTCTGTCCAACGTGGCAAGTTTCCAATTTCGCGTCACTAACCAACAGCTAGGGAAGATTTACATACGAGCTCAATCTTCTGTAAACACGGCTAATGTCACACTAATCTGTGGCCAATCTGTAGCACAAGCTGTCAGTCAAATTCAGCAATGTCCAAACCAAACTACCACAACACCTTTAACCACAACTACAACAGGTTCCACGTCAACCGTCACAGTGCCAGTGGAAGGAGCAACATTTAACTCAACTTTGGCTTGTACGAGAGGCTCTGATCAAACGAATCACAACCTGGACTGTAGGAATCATTATCAGGACGGAGACATTCGGTCATTGTCTATAACTCGTGTCTTCTACGGAGCAACTCCTCTGTCCAGGTAGGAATCTAACATAAATAGCGTGTAGATATTATTTGTAGGAATAAGTTACTTTTTAATGAACGCATTCTTAAATGGATTGAGGAAATGAGGACCACAAAGAGAAATCTCAAGTCGAACGTTGTCGAGTGAGGTAAAAGGTTATAGGATAGATTACGTCCAAATTTTGACAACATTGAAATGCGAAAGACGAAACGGAATGGTGGACTAGTCTGCGAGGCTAATGCGACTCATCATGGCCGAACACCATTATGATTATAATGTACAAAGTTTTTGACAAATGCAGGAAAGGGATAGTTAGTGGGTAGTGAACTGTTTATTCAAAATGGCGAAATGTATTCTTGTCAGAAAAGCGACGGACTTGGCTGATCACTTCTAACAGACTCTATGTTATAGAATATGAACGACAATCTCATAGGATTAATACAATAAAGAATGTCAGGAATTCAAATGTCGAACGTTTTCGTCATCTAGCTGCTTCATCCCCCCCCCCCACCCCCCACCCACCATCTACAGCAACCTCAGAGGTAAAACAATATTCTTATTGTTGGAAATGCTTTCCTCTTTCCTCTATTCTCCTCTTCTTCTTCTCTCCTCAGTACCTTATTCTTCATACAACTAAGGACGCGATCTAAAATAATTCCAAGTAGTTTTCAGCAAACGATCTAGCTGGCATCTCCTCCCTCTTAAAACGGTGTCCTTTCATTTTTTTCTAAATTGAGTAGTGGCTGATGACACTAATTTATTGTTGGTTTATCGTTCTTCTAGGGCTTGCAGCCTAGTTCTCTTGTCTGACATAAGTCTCTTTACCTTTTGTTCTTGCAGTCTTGTCATGGTTACAGATTTACAATTGGTTCTCGCAAATATCTCAGTCCTCGAAGAGCATTCGTTATGCCAGCTTAATGATTCATTACTTGTCCCTTCTCTACAAATTCACCCGGTAGTAACCTTGACTGGGATTAAGTAAGCTCGTTCTCCTCTTATACCTGCTGGCTTTGGCTTAGAAAATGAATCTGATCTGGGGCAGCCGTGACTGCATCAGGAACTCCAACCATTGTCTTTGAGCCCAGCGCTTTTAAGACTCAGAGAGCACAATAATTGACTCAAAACTCAAAAAAGAAATTATTTTTATGTAAAGGTCTGTCTCGGTCAATCTAATGCTTGTTATAACCACCATCTCTATAGTCAGACTGCTAATTTTCCAGTGAGAGTATCTCTGGTCACACAGAAGCTTGTTACTACCACAATCTCTATTGTCAAACTGCTCCTTTTCCAGTCAAGGTCTCTTTCGGGTCACTCTAAATCTTGTGTATACAATAATCTCTATGGTCAGTCTGCTCATTATTGAGTGAAGGTATTTCGTAGGTCATCCAAATGCTTCTTGCTACCATAATCTCTATGGTCAGACTGCTCATTTTTTCCACTGAAGGTCTGTCTCGGGTCCCTGAAATGCTTGTTACTATCATAATCTTCAGACTGCTCATGTTTTCCAGCGAAAGTCTGTGCCTTAGGTCAGTCTAATGCAATTTATTATCGTAAGCTTCTTAGACTACTTGTGTTCAGTGAAAAATCACCAGTCTTCCTTCTTTGCTTTCATTTCAGCCTCAGCTTTGAAAAAAAAAAAAAAAAAAAAAAAAAAAAAAAACATGAGCTGCTCAAGTGCTAAACAGAAGACCCATGTTTATAAACCACTGCATCACTCTCAGAACATTGTCTTTAACATCAGGTTCTATAATTCTGACCCCGCAGCGGCTGCGATGACTTTAAGGCTTCGCTGCCTAATTAAATCAAGTCACTGTAAAATGGATCCATAGATTATGTATTAAAAAAAACAGTAAAGATCCCTTTCCAAGCCTTTAGGCGTATCGGGCATATGGGAAGAGCGGCCATATTTTTACAGACCAGCAAGCACTCGGTGGGTAATGTGGTCAGCTGTCTTTACTTTCCTAGGACAGCCCATCCTGGTGCTCATGTTGGGCTGGGTCGAGCTGCGAAGGCCCCATACCATGATAAAAATCCACGCAGCCAGCAGTGGGTTTCGATCGCAGTACGCTGAATTACGAGTCAGACTCGCAACGACATTATGTACAGTCTTCAAATATTGTATCATTGCTATAATACTGTGATCACGAATTTTTATTTCAGGTTTTATATGTTTTTTTTTTCTTTAATTAAATTACCAGCGGATGTGACAGAACAGCTCCCTATGTCAACTGCTGTGTTCGAGACCCAAACAAGGTGGACTGTGTTTTCCAAAACGATGCTGAGTTGCAGGAAATTATAGAAAAGTGTTCTGGGGTCTCTTATTGTGAATTCCCTGGTCTGAGAGTATCCGCATCCTTAGGGAACTGTGATCCCAACAATTATCCAGCTCTGACATCGTTTTCTTTCATCGAGTACCAGTGTCTGCCTAAAGAGTTCACACGTCAGGTCTGCAGTGACATTAACGACCGGCAAATAGGCCGGCTCTATTTGGAGAGTAACACCGTTCTGGTTGGAAAGACAGTGACCAACACCATATGTCAATGTCTCATCACAACGGACTGTGATTCCAGCCTCAGCTTCTATGGCATTGTTGTTCAGTTAACTCAGATTAATGCCACAACATGTGCAGAAGAGATCACCTTTGCTGACGTTCGATATCCTCAGTTATCCGCTAGAGTCAACTGTACTGACGACGATAACGTGCTTTACAATAAATCGCTATTTACATCTCTGTCCAACGTGGCAAGTTTCCAATTTCTCGTCACTGGCCAACAGCTAGGGAAGATTTACATACGAGCTCAATCTTCTGTAAACACGGCTAGTGTCACACTAATCTGTGGCCAATCTGTAGCACAAACTGTCGGTCAAATTCAGCAATGTCCAAACCAAACTTTCCCCTCATCAGCTACCACCTTACAATACAACATAACAACGCCTTCGCCTACTGCCACTACAACCGTGCAGTATTACCAATCTACCCCCTCATCTTCTCCAGACATCACTACAACTTTACAATATAACCAAACTACCACCTTATCTTCTCCAGACATCACTACAACTTTACAATATAACCAAACTACTACCTTATCTTCTCCAGACATCACTACAACTTTACAATATAACCAATCTACCCCCTCATCTTCTCCAGACATCACTACAACTTTACAATATAACCAAACTACCACCTTGTCTTCTCCAAACACCATTACAACTTTACAATACAACGAAACTACCACCACATCTTCTTCACCCACTTCACCGAACAGAAATGTTTCTAGTACAACTTCAGCAACGACGACAACGTGGTATTCCATGACATCTGTCACGTCAACCAGCATGAGGTCACTGGAGGAAGCAACATTCAACTCTACATTGTCCTGCACAAGAGGCGCTGATCTCACCAATCATAACCTAGACTGTAGGAATCAGTATCAGGACGGAGACAACCGGTCCTTGGCTATCATCCGTGTCTTCTACGGAGCAACTTCTCTGTCCAGGTATGCAATAAAGTAAATCCTAATTTGTATTTTTTTTTTTTTTAAATTAACCTTTTCATGTGATCGTTTTTTATTAATTTTTTTTTTCTTCAGATTTGTTGTTTCACAAAATGTATTTTAATCTGTCAACTAGAATGCACATACCATACGGCTTTAAATCATATCAACACCCATAATAAACAGGAATAAAAGGAAAACACTAGACAGTACTAGGAGATCATTCTCAAGCGTTTCATATAGTTAGTCAAGTAGTGATTGGCCCATTTTCACTCTTTGATATATTTAGTCAAGTAATCACTTTGTCACTCTTTGAAGCATACTTGGTCGCCATCTTGTAATATTGTTATGAATCACGCCAGAATTTGATGAAATGGACAGCATCTGGCGGACAGATACCACGCTTCACTCAACATCCATTTCAGCCAGTTTTTATAATGTCTTCCTGTGAATTTTAACTGATGACTTTCGTGTCTGAGTCCAGCTTGCTAGCCACTGATTTACTATTATCCCTAGGCTGTTTGGTGTAACCAGATACACCATTCACATAACTGGGATGTAGAACTGCTGCATCAGATGTACTGGTACACCACAACCAAACTCATGCTGGTCAAGAACTATCTGAAGAGCCGAATGTAAGACGGGCCAGCGTGCCCAAATTGTGACCCTTTGAAAATAAAGTTCGTTCGTTTGTTCTTCACCTGTCTGGAGGGCTGGCCAACATAGTTAGGATCTACGTTTTCTTTGAAGTCAGACCGAAAGACAATGAACCAACTGTATGCATAAAAAATTACCAGATCTGTAAAACGGATGTACACGCAACATTTAAGTCTGGGGAAAATACCAAATTCGGGAAGTGGACGAACACGTTTCTCCAGTTTACAGCCGAAGAACGCAAAGAATTATAACAAAAGTCAAATAAAAACTCATCTGAATAGAAGAAGACATTAAAGGACAGTTTATATAAAGCTGCAACATATTTAAGGACCAAAAGCTTCTCCTTCGTATCTATTTAAGTCCAAATTCTCACGACTTTTAAATTTCGTTTAAACAATTTTGTCAAAGTAGCAACTCCTATCTGACTTAGTGTCTTTTCTTTATGACTTTAACAGACATAAGTCAATATTTAAGTCAACATATAAGTCACCATTTAGGTCAATGTATAAGTCAATATTTAAGTCAATATATAAATCTACATTTAAATCAATATATAAATCAGTATATAAGACAATACTAGGTAACCAGGTCAGAGGACTCACCACCTGAGTGCACCCTTTTCATCTGAAAGACTAGACCCAGAAACTCACAAGGGGGAACAACTAATTTACTCCAATTCTTTATCCGAAAAAAGCTATGTAATTTATTTCACTATCCCAAAGACATGGCCATCAGCGGGTAAGAGGCGCAATAACCTCTCCCCCCCCCCCCCTGCTGCCTTGCAGGGTAAGTCTCTTTAGACAAAGGCTATTGGAGTCAAACCATAAACAAACCGGCTGAAGGCAAGCGGAAACCACCACTGTACTTTCCCAAGAACATCATGCCCCAAAATAATACATATTCAGATAACGACATGAATGGGGATTCCAGTGAAATCACCTCGTCCTGTACTGAGCATCATGTTCTACGGGTGATACCCAACCGTCATCCAGCTACTGTAGGAAAAGTAAATGGTAGAAACATCATGAACATTGGTACATGGAATGTCAGAACACTCGTACAAAACGGAAAGTTGGATAACATCAAGATGGAAATGCAAAGAATGAACATCAACATATTAGGAATTAGTGAAATGCGATGGCCATGAGCAGGTTAAAAGTATTAAGATCAGTAAAAAGTAAAGTAAAGTTCCCTTTTCACGCCTTTCGGCGCATCGGGCATATGGGCAGAGCGTCCCATATTTTTACAAACCATCAGCACTCTGTGGGTAATGTGGTCAGCATTACGCCGGCTGTCTTTACTTTCCCAGGACAGCCCATCCTGGTACCCATTTTAAGCTGGGTCGACCTGCAGATCAGAAACAGAATTATTTACTCGGGTGGGAAGGAATATAGTAAGAGAGTTGGTATTATTTTGATTTAAAAGAACTCAAAAACTGTGAAAGGATTTTGGACAATATCAGATAGAGTACTATTAGTAAAACTTCGCGGCAGACCGTTTGACATCAACTTAGTACAGATTTATGCCCCAACAGCAGATAGTTCAGAGGAAGATATTGACGCATTTTATGATGAGTTAGACATGGCTGTTGATCAATGCAAAAATTGTGAAGTAACAATGGTACTTGGAGATTCATTCATTCATTCAGTAGCATGTCCCTCGCGGAACCTCGCTGCCATAACAACCCTCCGGAAAACCTTCCTATCATGAGCAAGATGTCCTGCGTCTGATACACCCATCTGGAGATCATCTGCCACATCCTGCACCCATCTTCTCCTTGGCCTTCCTCTTCCTCTCTTCCCAGGCATATACCCCTCCATTATTGTTCTCTCTAGACCTCCATGACGTTTCAAGTGACCAAAATATTTCAATTTTCTTTGTTTTATTGTCTTTACTAGCCAACCCTCTTCAATATTCAGCTCTTGAAGTATGGATGCACTTGGAGATTACAACGCGAAAATAGGAAGTGAAAAAGTGTACGGAATAACGGGTGGCTATGGCCTAGGAGAAAAGAATGTGAGAGGTGACAGATTAATAGCATGGGCTAAGTCACGCAGCATGATAATAGGTAACACCTGGTTTAAACACCATCCTCGAAGATTGTGGACTTGGAAAAGTCCTGGTGATAATGTCCGCAATCAGATTGATTATATTTTGATTTTAAGAAGGTTCAGGAGCAGCTTAGTTGGAGCAAAAACTAGACCAGGAGCAGACTGCTTTAGTGACCATGTTCCAGTTGTAGGAAAAATTAGAATAAAACTAAAGAACATTAGAAAAACACCACAGAACATCAAGTTAAATTTAGGAATTCTGAGAACGGATAAAGAAATTAAGGACCAGTACAATGTCTCTGTACAAAACCGATATAATGCAATGGAAATTATACAGACTATTGATGAACAGTGGGGTATGTTGCGTCAATTCAGCAGACATCTAAAGAGACAATCCCACCAACCCATAGAGTTGTAAAAAAGAAATGAATGTCAACCGAAATTCTGCTGTTGATGGATGAAAGAAGGAAGAAAAAGAATGATAAAGAAGAATTCTCTAGAATACAAAAAGAAATAGTGAACAAATGCAAAGTGGCTAAAGAAGCCTGGCTGAATCAAATGGGTACAGAGATTGGGGAAAACAACAGGAAAGACTCACATTCCATGTACCAAAAGATAAATATGTTAACAGGAAAGATGACACGTAACAGCACTCGATGTTTGAAATCAAAAGTTGGTGACTTATAAATGGGACATAGTAAAATAATTAACAGATGGACAGAGTATATAGGGGAATTGTATGATGATAATAGACCAGATGTAGAACTGCAGACCAACAATGATGGTCCACCAATAATGACTGCAGAGGTTGAGGATGCAATACATCATATGAAGAAAGGAAAAGCACCCGGGTCAGACAACACCTCACTGGAAAAAATCGAAGCACTGGGAGATTTTGGAATTGAAATAATAACTAAACTTTTAAATGATATTTATGATAGTGGGTATATTCCAAATGACCTTTTAAAATCCATATTTATAGCTCTGCCTAAGAAACCATGCACTATAAAATGTGAAGACCATCGCACAATAAGTCTTATGAGTCACATGACTAAGATTTTACTGAGAATAATTATGAGAAGAATAAGAAACAAAATTAAACCAGAAATCAGCGATGAACAATGTGGATTTGTAGAAGGAAAAGGTACAAACAATGCCATATACATCCTAAGGACATTGTCAGAAAGAGCTATAGAAGTAAATACTGATTTGTACATATGTTTCATAGACTATACAAAAGCATTTGACTGTGTGAAGCATGAAGAAGTAATCATACTGTTGGAGAAATTAAACATTGATGGGAAAGATCTACGAATAATAAAGAATATGTATTGGCAGCAAACAGCAGCTATAAGAATTAACAACTGTTTAGCTACATTTTAAAGCATAAAGAGGGGCGTACGACAAGGATGTCTACTGTCACCTGATTTGTTTTCAATATACAGTGAATATATAATGAGAGCCTTAATTGGTATGCCCGGAATTGTAGTTGGTGGGCACAATATAAACAATTGACATTATGTTGATGACACAGTCTTGATAGCAACAAGTCAGAAAGAACTACAGGAAATGATAGACATTGTGGTGTTAAAAAGTAGAAGAATGGGCCTCAGTTTGAAAAATGGGAAGACAGAAGTAATGGTGTTATCAAAGAAACGAATTATTCCTAGTGTGTAAAAAAGTTGATGGTGTTATTTTAGGACAAGTACAGAAATGTAAGTATCTGGGCACATAGATAACATCAGATGGAAGATGCATAACTGAGATAAGAAATAGAATAGGACAGGCAAAGACTGCATTTTATAAAATGAAAAACATCTTGTCATTGAGAGTTAGAAAAAGAATTCTTGCTTGCTACATACATCCAGTTTTAACATATGGCTGTGAATCCTGGACAATCGGTAGGCAGGGCAAACAATTTCTGGAGGCCTCGGAGATGTGGTTTTACAGAAGAATGCTTAGAATACCTTAGGCAGCCAAAAAGAGGAACCAAGAGGTTTTGAAAGAGGCGGGAGCCCGAAGACAACTTATCACAGACATCAGAAGGAGACAGTCATAATTTGTCGGCCATGTTATGAGAAGAGGGAAAATAGAACATGTTGTGACCACTGGAAAGATATGTGGAAGGAGAGATAGAGGAAGACAACGAGAGAAGATGCTTGACAGTCTTGTTGCATGGCATGGGGGTCTGTCGGCACACGAACTGATACATGCTGCAGGAGATGCAGATTATGGAGAGGCATGATCGCCCAGGCCAGTCGGCAAGGCACCTGATGATGATGATGATGACCCCAAAGATCAGATGGAAGTC